TATGCAAATGAAGCCCGGGAAATTAAAATCCCGGGCTTCATTTGCAAGTGCGGTATGCCTACATTACCCCGCTAGTTCGAACTTGCGGGGTAGTGTAGACATACCCTCTGAGACCCTGAGCTTCTCTAATCCTTCCTACCAGCTTTCTCTAATTCCTACTGTCTCATGGTGCCTCTCTTTTAACTATTTCTAGTTGTTTAACTGAATCACTCAATAAATTAGCTAATCATTTAGGACTTAAACTATTCCCTCATCAATAACTGATGCTTCCAAAGAGCATATAGTGGTGAGTCAACCTTAGGCTACTCATACTATGTTACAATTATCTATACTAGAGAGACAGGGTAGGTGAGGTGATACCTTTTACAGGACCAATTTCTGTTCCTGAAAGGTGACAAGCTTTCAAAATCACACAATTATCTACATTGAAACATACAAAAAAGCTTTCTATTTAAAAGCCTGATTCTTCTCTAGTTTAAATGGGAGTCTCTCAAATGATTTCAGTGGTCTTTGGGTTGGCCTGAAATGCATTTGGGTTCTTAAAGAAAAGTATATAATGTAAATTACAATAAAAAGAGTATTGGAACAATTGTAGCGACATTTTGCTATTCCTATATTATGTTCTTTTCTCCAATAAAAAGATTATTGGAACAATTGTAGCAACATTTTGCTATTCCTATATTATGTTCTTTTGCCACTATAATAAAAAAAATCAAGCTTAGATTTCCTGTCAAAAAGATGTACTCTACGTCAATCTAAAGATGCCAGACTCCAAGAATTTGTGGGTGATGTGGCCTATGCTATGAATACTTTCAAGGTCAGAGGAAGCAATAATGATTCTGGTCTTAAAATCTCTGAATATTTATAACAGGGTATGAGACACTATTCCTTTACCAGCAACACAGATATAATGCTGTTTTCTTCACCACCAATCTATTTCCAGCACAGGATGTCTCAATGCCTAGAAAAAAATCAGTTGATAGACTAAGAGAACTTAACTCAAACCCAGTCTAAAAAAGATAGCAGTGACGTTGTTACAAAGGGAGAAATTCTTCAAGAAACTCACCAATACTCTAACATTACCATCAGTTGAAGGCGACAGAGCATGAAAGATAAAAAAACATAGAGACCAAACTGGGTTCCTTAATATTCTTGATACACAGATGGTTACAATTTTGAGGGAAAGCGTCTATCTTAAGATGACTAGGAAAGCAAATCTTTTCCTCTCCAAGGATCCTGCCATTGTGATCCAGTCATATTCAGGATAGATTACTGCAAATCATTCTACAGAGACTCTATGTAATTGTGATATGGAGACTGCTGCTGGGGTAAAATGCTCAGCCAATCACCAAAGGAAGTAAGCTGTCTGAGGGTGAGACTGCCTTTTTGTCCTGTATTTGTACAATACCTAGCACAATGCGTACTACAGGTTGGACCTCCCTGGGTCATCACTCTTGGGACTTGACCAGTCCCGAATGAAGTGATTTGCCAGTCAAGGGAAGGTTCCTTCCCTCACAGTCCATGCTGAATGCTGTTCCCTGGCTAGGGAATCAGCCCTGCCCTGCTGCTGCCTGGCAGGCTAGAGCTGCATGGATAGGGCCGGAACTCCATGGATGCTGCGGGGTCAGTAGTTGTACAGCTGGGGCCAGACCCCCACTGCTCTCCAGCCACTGGGATCAGAACTCCATGCTGTGCTCCCTCTCCTTAGCCCCCAAGGACACAGGGCTCCCAGCTGAGTCACAGCCCCTGCGGCCTCACTGCGCTTGTTCCCCGCAGCCAGACTTTCCTATACCTGAGCTCTGTGGTCCAGGAACATCTGTGGTCCTACCAGCCCACAGGTGTTTCTGGACCAGAAAGCCGCAATAAAGGGAGGTACAACCTATAGTCCATAGCTGGTGCTCTTATGCACTATGTTAATAAATAAAATTAAAAGCCAAAATGAACAGTGTTGAATGTCTATAAGAACCAACTTAAGGAGAATCAGGGTTGTCCTTACACATGCACAGTATATGGAGCTGTGTAGGGCACCTGAAAATGTGGGGCACTATTCAGTCTTCATGTCCATCCACCTGCATCTTCTTATCCCTGTCCGATGGCTGCTGCAGTCTGATGAGTCTTATTCTGGAGGAAAGCTAGTTAACCTAAATGTGTAAACGCCTGCCAGGACTATAAGCAGAACATTGAACCTATGAAAGAGCCATTCAAGTGGTAATGGAGCCATTTAATAGGAATTTTCTAACCCTCTCTCCCCCCCTTCTCCACACACTCCAAGTATATACTGTCAGTTTCTGAATTTACTGTGTTAGTCTACAGGACAAGAAGTTTAAACATTGTTTTAAAATATTTCATTAGTTTGTTGCTGAAGATTATAAAATCACAGCTCTAAAAAATTGTTGTCCTCCCTCCCCTCAGGAGTGCCATCTGGCATAGGGGGACCTGTCTAATAGTACTGTGTAAGGCCCTATAAATCCACAGGACAGCTCTGGTGAAAATATATAAACAGATAAAATGAAGCTGCCAAATGTCTACATTGAAGCCACTGTGCAACGTCCAAATTGAAAGTACACTCTAGAGAATAGATAGACTAGGATTCTATGGGATTTGACAATTTTCACATTGCACGTAAACAGGAGAGACAGTTATTGCAAAAAGAAGACAAACAAAATCATGTTTAAAAATCTGATGTTATGAAGAGTATTTGTTTAAAGCAAAATAAAATATCCCAATGACTAATGGCAAGAAATAATAATTAATAAAAGATGATGATGATCACGATGAGAGCACAAAACACACTAGTTTTCCATGAACTCCAGTGTCTCCTAATTTATTTACTGATTGAATTCAAAATCCTAGTCTTGGTCTTAATTTAAAAAGTCCTCAATTTATTGAGATTATGAATATCTTAAATAGATGTGTCCAGCAGGAACAATGTGGGTGAAGATACAAAGAATGTGATTTCTTAGTTTAAGTCATGTCTAACCTTCAATAAAAAAAAGAGTGTTACCAAATCTCAGAGTCTGTGTCAGTTGACTCATATTAGTGGTGTTCAGGGTATAGGATTAAAAACAATTGCAAAGATACTCAGGCTTTCACTGGAGCCTAAGCTCTGGAACCCACACCCCTTGAGGGATCTCAGAGCCTTTGTTCAGTCCAGACCACAAACATCTATACTGCTATTTTATAGGCCCACATCTGAGCCCAGTTAGCCTAAGTCAGCTGACCCAGGCCAGCTGTGACCACACCCATGAGTCTCTTGTTGAAGTGGAGACAAACCTTAGGAAGTGAGGAGAGCAACAAGACCTATCGAATTATTTGCTAGTAGATATTAGACAAAAGTCATAATAAAACATGAAGCTTCTATTTTTGATAAATGCTTGTCCCAGCAATAACTACCTTTATACATATACACAGTGAAAACTTGGTAATGGAAGGTGAAGTTAGTTAATGGTTACACCTATAGGGTTTCTTGCAAAAACAATGTAGGCCCTCCCCCACAGGTTACAGCCTTGACATTTCTTCTGAGATACAAGACTCTCTTTAGAGAATCTCATTTGCTGGAATGTAGGCAATCATGCCCAGCAGTTGGACCGGTAGTCATGCCTTATGATTAGAGTCAGAGTTGATAGCCAAGAATCAAAACCCAGGATCAGAACCAAATTTAGGATCAAAATGGAAGAGCCAAGGGTCGAAGCTGAAATCAGGTGGTGAAGCCAATTAGGAAGCCCAGTATTTTACGTAATTTTGTCAGTGCTTATAAACTACAGTAAAAGTTACCTAAAAATAGATTAAATTTAGATTAGCTGATCTGATCAACATATTATGGGTTGAAATGTTATGGATTTATTTTCTTTTATTTAGGTATATTTACATTGATCTAGGGAAGTGTTTCTTAAAGAGGGTGTGGGCCTTCCTGAGTAAACCACTGGCGGGCCCACACTGCTTTATTTATCTAAAGTGTCTACAGCCAGGAAGCCTTGCAGTTCCCATTGGCTGCAGTTTTCCATTTCCAGCCAAGGGGAACTGCAGGAAGCAGCATGGCCCACTTGGCTGGAAACAGAGAACCACAACTAGTGGCAGCTGCAAGGTTCAATGGCTCGACATTTTAGTTAAACAAAGAGGCAGTGGTTTACCCAGGTGGGGCCACAGCCCACTTTGAGGAACACGGGTCTAGGGGAGTCTCTGCAATTCCTCAATTATTCCTTGGCATAAACTCTATTAAATTATATTAACACGCAAGCTCCTGAAAAGTGCACCCCACCTCTGCTTACCCTCTTCTTATTCTCTGCTACCAGAAGTCAGCTTCCCTTTCCTTTCCCTTTGAACAAGAATGACATTTGGTGGAATGTCAGGCTGTAAATTGTAGCCACTGAAAAGAATAGGAGGTACTATCTGGTGCTTGTGTCTAATAACATTTCTGAATTTAGGAGATTTTCAACCTGAGCTAAATTTAAATATTTCTCCTTTTACTGGTGGCTGAAATATCTAGTTTTAAAGTATTAGCTCAAAATATCTTCCTTTTTTATTACAGAGTAATACTTTCCAAAGCAAGAAAGTAAGTAAAAAAATTCCTTTTCATTAGCAAGTGGCTGACAACTTTAAAGGCCCTAATTAATCCCAGGTCACTCTTGTAAATAGAATCTTTCCACCTCAGTGGTTTTTTAGCTAGTAAAATGTTTAAAATAAATAAATAGTCCCCTGGGTAAAATTTCAGAGCTCAGTAGCATTGACAAAGCTCTCACCAATAGATAAGAGCTAAACAACAAACAGCTGAATTCCTTTAATTAGGAATCATTTCTCTTGCACACAATATACATGTTCATTTGACAGACAAATTAAAAATTAAATTCAAAGGGTTTTTCCACTTACGTTTCAGAGAGATTAAAAACATGTTGAGGATCTCCATTTTGGATGAGGTATCTTATTGGGTCACCCTCTCGGTCAGTGGCCTACAGAAAACAATCAAAATATGTTTTAGTCATAGATGTTATAAAACCTTGTTAGTGTTTTACAATCTATATACCTTAAAATCAATCTTCTAATTCTAACCATTGAAGTATTGTGAAGAATCTTTTCAAGAGGAAACAATGCTCACAGTTTCCATTTTATCAGATATGGGTGTATGAAGTTGTACCACATCAATACTCTCAATAAATCAAAACATTTATTTTAAATATTTTAAATGTACATTTCCAAATTATTACCACCAGAATGATGAAATTTAGGATATATCTTTCCTTGACAATTATCAGGGCAGGACTTTTCCCCTATAATTTTCATCCAGATACTTTACTTTGTATTGTTTTGTTTCCATCTTCCCAACCCTTTTGTCGATGTTCCTCTTCTCAAATCTCACCCTCTGACTTTTCTTTCAGGTTCCTGGGGCATCCCAGAAGATCAGGATGAGAACCAGAAAGTATGCTAATAACAATACTTTAAAAAAATGAAACATGCCAATGTTACTTTCCCAGGGAAAATTTCCTGGCCCATAAACAAATTTTAAAACAAATGATTCAATATTTAGATTGGTAGAATTACTCTTGGAGTTGTTATCCATGAACTTAGACTTCACATTTTGAGTGGCTGTTTTAAGAAGAAAAACAACAGGAAACTTGACATATGAATTATTGGAATTTGCGAGCCACGTACATAGCAGAAAAGATAATCATTGAATGAGCTCTGCTATCTGCACAAATACTTTTCTCTCTAAACTGTCTAAGCACTCTTGAAAGATGGTTGACATTAATAAACATATCTCTTAACTTGTTTAAAAACAGAAGAAAGCTTTTGGTGTTACATAACTGACAAGATTAGTGTTCAAGTTAGGAAGAATACAAATGCTGTGCAAGGTCAGAAGAATTTATTTCTATTTTCTACATCAGGAGTGGGTAATAACTGGCCATGGGCCAGACATGGTTTGCCAGGGTTAGCCCTGGCAGGTCACCAGCACTTTATTTACCTGTGCATACTCAAGTACATCCAGTTGCAGCTCCCGTTGGCTGCAGATTACCATTCCTGGCACATGGTAATTGTGGGAAGCAGCACAGACTGGGACATTGCTTCCCCCAGCTGCCATTCCCATCCTCCTCGATCTGTCTACTGCCTTTGATAGTCCAGAGGTTCAGTTTCTTTTTGCTTTCCTCTTTTTCTACGTTTTGCCCCTACCTGTCTTGTTGATTGCTTTTTCAACCATAGCCATGATAAACATAAGAACATAAAAACGGCCGTACTGGGTCAGACCAAAGGCCCATCTAGCCCAGTATCCTGTCTGCCGACAGTGGCCAATACCAGATGCCCCAGAGGGAGGGAACACAATAGGTAATCATCATAGTATCCCTCTCCTGTCATCCATTTCCAGACAAACAGAGGCTGGGGCACCATTCCTACCCATCCTGGCCATTGATGGACATCACCTCCATGTATCTATCTAGCTCTTTTTTGAACCCTGTTAAAGTTGTAGTCTTCACAACATCCTCTGGCATGGAGTTCCACAGATTGACTGTGCACTGAGTGCAGAAAAACTTCCTTTTGTTTGTTTTAAATCTGCTGCCTATTAATTTCATTTGGTGGGAATAAATAAATAACTTTTCCTTATTCACATTTCAATAACAGTCATGATTTTATAGACCTCTATCATATCCCCCCTTAATTTCCTCTTTTCTAAGATGAAAAGTCCAAGTCTTTTTAATCTCCCTTCATATGTGACTCATTTCAAACCCTTTTCTGGATCCAATTCCTCCTTATTCACCTTGTTTGGTGTTCTCAGAAGTCTATCCTTTGTCTCTTCTACACTCATCTCCACATCTAGAGCTGGACAAACATATTTTAAATAATAAAAGGAAAATATTTGACAGAAAATTTTATGGAAAACTCTCACACATTTTAAGAAGCTCTAATATTGAGTTCATTGCCATGGTCTCTAACATCACTTTTTTATTGATGAGATTTAATTCTGTCTCTACACATCTAATATCTTTCCATCTGTTTGGAGTCCCATCTCTTAACTGTCACTATTTTTCTGTTACTGTTCAGAAACCTTTTTGTTTCTCTCTCTCTTCATCAGAATAGACAAATTCACTATCCGGCCATTCAACCAGATTTGCAACACTAGCATCTTCTTTTCCTTCTCTTCTTGAATCCAGGCTGTCACAAGAAAAAAAACAACAGACCCTCCCCCCCCCCAAAAAAAACCCCAAAACCATTGGAAATGCATTTATCACTGATTTGGTAGGTTCATATGTGCATCTTTAAAATGCACAGTTAATAGCAAAACAAATTGTGTATGATCTCAATCCTTAAATTCAAAGAAGTACATCATGTAGAAACAAAGAAAACCGAAGACTCAAAACCCAATAAAAATCATCTCACTCTAAATTTGGATCAGCTGATTGAATAAAATTGTATTTTGACATCTGTATATTTCAAGATCAATTAAATACACCCATTTTGCCACCCCTTGAGAATTACTGCCTGCTTATAGAGCATACCTCAGTAACATGGTAATTGCTCTATTCCTGTTTATCAAAATCTCAAGAAAATGAGACCATTTGCATACTTAAGCTTTAATCAACAATAGTTGGCAGAATGCAAAGTAATAAACACCTTCTAGACATGGAATAAATTCGGTCTTATTTACAAAATAACACAGTGGGGATTATTTATTGCTGTGTTATTTAAGGTAATCTTGATTGTTGCTATTAAAATACAAGTTGTAATCAACTGGGTACATTTTAAAATATGTGGCATTAACATACAAAAAAATTGGACCTTCCTGTGTTAATAGAAGTAGTTAGTTGTTAATTAGACTTTCCAATTACTGGAAGTTTTAACTGTATGTAGCTAGTGGATATGTTTGAAATATTGAGAGTTTCTTACTAGGGGTTGGAATACTTTGCAAAGTCTTAGGAGTCACATAGTTCAGAAAAAAAAGAACTTGCTCTCAAAAGGAACTGATCCTTCCTTGCTATTGTCATCATACACTTGTGCCAAAAAATAACAAAATAGAATTAAAATGTTTCCAATATTACTCACTTCCATCCCAACAAATAAAGTCTCAATCAAGGTCTCAATCCTACAAATAATTATTCATGTACTTAATCTCTAAAATCGTGAGCAGTTTCCTTGATATAATGGATATTATCCATCAGTTCAAGACAGTTTTCAGAACTGTATTTGCATTATCCAACACCCTAAAATTACCTAAGGCTTTGCTACCTGCAAAGATAACCAGAGCCTCAAAGATTCCATATTCTAGCATTACAGGAGCCTACTGCTGACTCCCTTTTTGCAGTGCTTTCAGACTCAATTAGCTTGTGATAGGCTATGAAAATTATCCCAAGGAGTTGGACTGTGTAGTTTTAAAACTTACTAAGGGCAATAAAAGTGTGCCAAAAGTTAACTTTCGGTGTTGGGCTAAATGATTTACCCTCTCTCAGTGTGGGTGTTTTTTAAATCAGCTGTAACAATGCTAACCCTTTCTCGATGGTTCAGCACACTGTTTAATAGAAAGTTTCCCCAGTCATTTGCATGAATCACACTCAGTTAAACTTGCTTAATTTCATTCTGGTATAGATAATTTTTTATTAGCTCCATTCAATGGATTTCTATTGAACTATGCTATCTAAAACAGCTGAGGATCTAGTCCATTGTACCATTTGATTATCTGCACTCTGCTGAGATAACCAGACTATATTATGCAGGCCTCAGTAACTATAGGCTAAATTCAACATTTTCCAAGCAATGCTAGGAGGGCTGTCAGTTCACATGAATTAACTGAAGTTATGAACACAAAACAAATTAACTAGATTAAAAACAGTAATGACTAATTACATTCTTAATCATACTATTAAACAATAGAATACCAATTTAAACTTCCTATACATATTTTTGAATTGTTCTATATTTTCAAATATATTGATTTCAATTACAATACAGAATACAAAGTTTACAGAGCTCATTTTATATTATTTTTCATTACTAATATTTGCATTGTAAAATGATAAAAGAAATAGAATTTTTCAATTCACATTATAAAGTGTACCTCTTGTTCAGCCTAATGGTAAGGCAAATATGTTTGTTTATATTTACAGGAGATAAATTTACAGTGTTACCTAGATTTGTTGTAGCCAGAATTCCAAGGTATTTACATGTCAGGTATGATAACATTTAGGTTACATCTACACTTCAGGCTTCTCGCATAAGAACTTTTTGTGGAAGAAATCTTCCACAAAAAGTTCTTGTGCAAGAGCGCATTCAGACTGCCATGTGCTTTTGTGCAAGAGATGTACTTTTGCACAAGAGAGCATCCACACTGCCATGAATGCTCTTGTGCAAGAAAGCTCTGATGACCATTCACAGAATGGCCATCAGAGAACCTGTGCTTTTTCCGATAGGGGTTTCTTGCATGAGAAACCCATTACCCATCCACACATGCCTTTTTGAGCAAGAGCTCTTGTGCAAAAAGGCTTATTCCTCATAGAAAGAGGAATAACTCTTGCGCAAGAAGCCCTGTCTTCTGACGATCTGCTGCAGGGAGGCAGAGCCTGCGAGCGGTGGAAGGGGAGAGGCGGCGACAGGCAGGCAGCCGCATTCAGGACGTTCTGATCAGTTACACTCACTCCGGCTGGATCCACAGCCAACATGCAGTTAATGTACCTTTCCTCTCTATTGCCTGGAGGGGGGGGGGCAGGGGAAGGTAGGGGTTGGTGGGAGAGGGGAAGGGGGAGGGGGCGGGGGTGTGCCAAAGCAGCCTCATTCAGGACGTTCTGATCAGTTACACTCACTCCGGCTGGATCCACAGCCGACACGCAGTTAATGTACCTTTCCTCTCTACTGCCGGGGGGAGGGGTTGGTGGGAACGGGTAGATCCGCAGGTGACAGGCTGCTGCTGAAACTCACAAGAGATCATCTCCCCTCCC